ACGAAAGGAGAGAGCTCCCCCAGCCTACAACAAGAAGAAGAGAGCTTCCTCCAAGTTCACGAGAAAGAGGAGAGCTCCAAATCTAAAATACAGACAGACCCCGCCAAGCCATCGAGAAAGAAGAGAGGTCCGTTTACCCATCAGTCGGCAACAAGAGACCTCCTTTCTCTCTCGGCAAGCGGAAGAAGACTGTCTCCTCTTGCTCTTCAAACAAAAAATGGAAGGGAGTGTACGCTTCAAGAAGAAGGGATGAAGCTCCCCAGACCTTAATGGAGACCAAAGCGGTTCAATAGAACCGAATTTTCTTATGGAAACCTTCCGGAAAACTCGGTGCTATCGGACCGCTGTGTTCAGGTCTGGAAAACGCAACCGTTCGATAGCGCAGATTTTCCCAAGGGAAACCATCTAGAAAATTTGGTGCTATTGAACCGCCCTTTACTGTCCTCATTGTCGGAAAACGCAGCGCTTCGACAGCACCAGGCTTGTGAAGGAAACTCTCCGGAAAATGCAGCCGTGCAATACGGCAACGGTGCGTGAAATGAATCACAACTTTCTGTGATTTCCTGGTCAACCGACAAGATTGAGGGAATTCATAAAGGGAAACAGAAGGATTTTTTTGTACAGCTGAGGGAAAACGTAAAGGAAAAATCAATGACGGTTTAGGGGAACCGTAAGGGAAATCGACGACCCTTTAAGGGAAACTAGGGGAATTTTGATTGGATAACAAGGAAGCCAGCCAAACTCGAAAGGGAATCGGAAGGGAAATCCGAAAAGCACAAAGGTTTTCAGAAACGAACAAATAAGGGGAATTTCCCTTTAATTCGGCCTGAACCGGCGTCAGAGGCCTGTACGAGTGTCAACGCTTGGGAAGGGCAGCAGGGAGGAGGCAGGGCAGGGGCAGGCAGGCACAAAAAGGAAGAGGGCAGAGGCAGTGAGCAGGGGCAGGGCAGGGGCGGGGGTCGGCTTCGCTGCCCTCACGGAACAGGGGCAGGGGCAGTAGGAGCAGAAAAAAGGAAGGGGCAAGGAAGGGGCGCACAGGGGCGGGGCAGGAGGGGCAGGGCAGGGCAGGGTCAGGCAGGGCGTTTCGAAACTTTCGAAACTTTTAAGACTTTTGAAACTATTGAAACTATTGAAACTATTGAAACCCTGCCCACCCTCATCCCGTACCTGTTGAAACTTTTAAAACTTTTGAAACTATTGAAACTTTTGACACTATTGAAACTATTGAAACCCAGCCCACCCTCATCCCGTACCTTTTGAAACTTTTGAAACTATTGAAACTTTTGAAACTATTGAAACCCTACCATCCCTCTGTTGAAAGTTTCAATAGTTTCAATAATTTCAAAAGTTTTGAAAGGTACGGGATGAGGGTGGGCCGGGTTCCAAGACTTTCAATAGTTCTCGGGCGAGCTGCTTCTTGAAACTTCTAAAACTTTTGAAACTATTGAAACTGTTGAAACTATTGAAACTATTGAAAACCTCATCCCGTACCTTCTGAAACTTTGAAAACTATTGCAACTATTGAAACTTTTGAAACCATTGAAACCCAGCCCATTCTCATCCCGTACCTTTTGAAACTTTTAAAACTTTTGAAACTATTGAAACTATTGAAACTTTTGAAACTATTGAAACCCTACCCTCCCTCTTTTGAAAGTTTTAATAGTTTCAATAGTTTTGAAAGGTACGGCATGAGGGTGGGCCGGGTTTCAAAACTTTCAATAGTTCTCGGGCGGGCTGCTTTTTGAAACTTCTAAAACTTTTGAAACTATTGAAACTTTTGGCACTATTGAAACTATTGAAACCCCGCCCACCCTCATCCCGTACCTTTTGAAACTTTTAAAACTTTTGAAACTATTGAAACTTTTGAAACTATTGAAACCCTACCCTCCTCTTTTGAAAGTTTTAATAGTTTCAATAGTTTCAAAAGTTTCAGAAAAAGGTACGGCATGAGGGTGGGCCGGGTTTCAAAACTTTCAATCGTTCTCGGGCGGGCTGCTTTTTGAAACTTCTAAAACTTTTGAAACTATTGAAACTTTTGGCACTATTGAAACTATTGAAACCCCGCCCACCCTCATCCCGTACCTTTTGAAACTTTTAAAACTTTTGAAACTATTGAAACTTTTGAAACTATTGAAACCCTACCCTCCTCTTTTGAAAGTTTTAATAGTTTCAATAGTTTCAAAAGTTTCAGAAGTTTTGAAAGGTACGGGATGAGGGTGGGCCGGGTTCCAAAACTTTCAACAGTTCTCGGGCGGGCTGCTTCTTGGAACTTCTAGAACTTTTGAAACTATTGAAAATTTTGAAACTATTGAAACTATTGAAACCCAGCCCACCCTCATCCCGTATCTTTTGAAACTTTTGAAACTTTTGAAACTATTGAAACTTTTGAAACTATTGAAACGCTACCCTCCCTCTTTTGAAAGTTTTAATTGTTTCAATAGTTTCAAAGTTTTGAAAGGTACGGGATGAGGGTGGGCCGGGTTTCAACACTTTCAATAGTTCTCGGGCGGGCTGCTTCTTGAAACTTCTAAAACTTTTGAAACTATTGAAACTATTGAAACCCAGCCCACCCTCATCCCGTACCTTTTGAAACTTTTAAAACTTTTGAAACTATTGAAACTTTTGAAACTATTGAAACCCTGCCCTCCCTCTTTTGAAAGTTTCAATAGTTTCAATAGTTTCAAAAGTTTTGAAAGGTACGGGATGAGGGTGGGCCGGGTTTTCAAAACTTTCAATAGTTCTCGGGCGGGCTGCCTTTTGAAACTTCTAAAACTTTTGAAACTATTGAAACTTTTGAAACTATTGAAACCCTGCCCTCCCTCTTTTGAAAGTTTCAATAGTTTCAATAGTTTCAATAGTTTCAAAAGTTTTGAAAGGTACGGGATGAGGGTGGGCCGGGTTTTGAAAACTTTCAATAGTTCTCGGGCGGGCTGCCTTTCGAAACTTCTGAAACTTTTGAAACTATTGAAACTATTGAAACTTTTGAAACTATTGAATCAATGCCCTCCCTCTTTTGAAAGTTTTGATAGTTTCACTAGTTTCAAAAGTTTTGAAAGGTGCGGGATGAGGGTGGGCCGGGTTTCAACACTTTCAATAGTTCTCGGGCGGGCTGCCTTTTGAAACTTTTAAAACTTAAAACTTTTGAAACTATCGAAACTATTGAAACTTTTGAAACTATTGAAACCCTGCCCTCCCTCTTTTGAAAGTTTTAATAGTTTCAATAGTTTCGATAGTTTCAATAGTTTCAAAAGTTTCAAAAGTTTTGAAAGGTACGGGATGAGGGTGGGCCGGGTTTTGAAAACTTTCAATAGTTCTCGGGCGGGCTGCCTTTTGAAACTTCTAAAACTATTGAAACTATTGAAACTATTGAAACCCCCTGCCCTCCCTCTTTTGAAAGTTTTAATAGTTTCAATAGTTTCAATAGTTTCAAAAGTTTTGAAAGGTCTGGGATGAGGGTGGGCCGGGTTTTCAAAACTTTCAATAGTTCTCGGGCGGGCTGCCTTTTGAAACTTCTAAAACTTTTGAAACTATTGAAACTTTTGAAACTATTGAAACCCTGCCCTCCCTCTTTTGAAAGTTTTGATAGTTTCAATAGTTTCAAAAGTTTTGAAAGGTGCGGGATGAGGGTGGGCCGGGTTTCAACACTTTCAATAGTTCTCGGGCGGGCTGCCTTTTGAAACTTCTAAAACTTTTGAAACTATTGAAACTATTGAAACTTTTGAAACTATTGAAACCCTGCGCTCCCTCTTTTAATAGTTTCAATAGTTTCAATAGTTTCAAAAGTTTTGAAAGGTACGGGATGAGGGTGGGCCGGGTTTTCAAAACTTTCAATAGTTCTCGGGCGGGCTGCCTTTTGAAACTTCTAAAACTTTTGAAACTATTGAAACTTTTGAAACTATTGAAACCCTGCCCTCCCTCTGTTGAAAGTTTTGATAGTTTCAATAGTTTCAATAGTTTCAAAAGTTTTGAAAGGTCCGGGATGAGGGTGGGCCGGGTTTTGAACACTTTCAATAGTTCTCGGGCGGGTTGCCTTTTGAAACTTCTAAAACTATTGAAACTATTGAAAATTTTGAAACTATTGAAACCCTGCCCTCCCTCTTTTGAAAGTTTTGATAGTTTCAATAGTTTCAATAGTTTCAAAAGTTTTGAAAGGTACGGGATGAGGGTGGGCCGGGTTTTGAAAACTTTCAATAGTTCTCGGGTTGAGGCCGAACTTGCAAAACTATTGAAACTATTGAAACTTCTGAAACTATTGAAACCCTGCCCTCAAGAAAGAGAAGCGTCACATAATACATAAAGGTTTCTCTTACATATATATATATATATATATATATATATTTATATACACACACACACATATATATATATAGATAGATAGATATAGAGCATACACATGTGTGCATGTATGTACGTATGTATGTATGCATGCATGCATGTGCACGTGCCCAAGTTACGGCACACATAAGTACTTCTAGTTCTTGACAGCTTAGCCCACAAATGCGCATGGAACCTGCTGGAAGGACTGCAGTACAGGCGGTTAAGACCGCACGCGCGCAATCCTTTTTGGAGTCGGTGCAAGCTCCACTCGTGGCTTGCATTTGCCGGGGCGCTCCTGCAATCAGGGACCCTGCGATCACCATTCTCTCCGGAGCTTTCTCAACCCTAAGCCTAGGAACTTACAACACGGTATAGCATAGCATAACGCCTAGCATAGCACCAACTGCACAATGAGTATCACATCTGTGCATGTTTGTGTACATGTGCATGTCTATTCTACATTCGCTGCAATGCATTCTGGAGACTGTGCTGAATTGCATTCCATGCCCTTGAGAAGATGTGCCCATACATGTACATACACGGAGAGAAATAAAGGCAGAGTATCATTGCGTCAGAGTAATCGAATGAACCTAGTGGCGATCTAGGATTTCGGCATATCCCACGGAGTTGCGGAGCCCCCAGGAGTCAAGAAGCCATGAAGCCTCGTTCTCTGTCCAGCAAGTCTATCTCACAGATCCCACAGCACGGGCGTTGTCGAGGATCTTCGTGTTTCCCTTGTGAATCTTCACCTGGGATGCTCGGTGATGACACTACGGCAGCACCTATACCAGACTACCGCAGTCCAAGGTACATGCAATTCCCGGGAATCTTTCTCGGAGTCGTTGCTTGGGTTGGCGAGGAAGCAGCCGGCGAGGATCCGAACCGCCTGAGAGCAGCTGATCTTTGAGGCTGCCTATGTCAGTCCCGGGCGTTCTCGTTGCTGAAGACTTCCAGTTCGCGTGCCAGTCGCAACTTCTCGGAAAGCTTCGTGGTGCTGGCTACAAGCACCCCAAACACAATCCGGAGAAGTTACGGAAGTTGGAGCATTCGTCACGTAAGATTGTGTGGCATTGGGATCATTTCGACACCCTCAACTCATAACTCTAAGCCCCGAGCCGCTTCTCATGAACCCGACAAATCCCAAAGTGCCCGAACTGACCCCCTTCCTCAATCAAGTTCGCAGAGTCTTCTGGGGCCTTCTCTGCGACTCCGGCCCGCTCGAACTGGCAAAGCCCTTGGCCTCTGGATCGTCCATCCTTGGCAGGGGCATCTCTTCGGGCGCGGTTCTGTTCTTGCTCTCTGCTTTTCTCTGTCTGTGGGGCATCGGTTCGTGGAAAATGAAATAAACGGTAATGTTTAAATATTCGAACATGAACGAAAGGAGTACCTACATATTGATTGCCACAAGTATCATGCTCGAGAACACTTGAAAAATTGTCCAGACAAATGCTGTCGGCCGGTAGTGGAGGAGTTAGCAGGAGCATGAGAAGGAGTAGAAGCAGTCGCAGCAGAAGTCGCAGCAGCAACAGCAGCAACAGTTGTCGTTGGCAGCAGGCAGTAGTGGCATTGTTTGTATTCGGGGTGCGATGAGTGCGAGCAGAGAGTAGCAACACGGTACAGAAGCGGTAGCAGCAGTCGCAACATAACAAGTATCAAAGACTAGCATCACCAGCATCGACATAAACAGAAACACAGCATAACAGACACCACGACGTTGCGGGAAAGGGCAATATAAGGGCATGCATCTCGAGGGCCGCTAAATTCTCAAGACTCGGCACAGCTACTTTCCTGAAGGATGCGGCTTTAAGCAACCTGCGGATGCCCAGGAGTCAGTGAAGTGTGATGCTGTGGCGGCCGTTGGGGCTTCGCAGGTTTCTGTTTGCATGTCGACTATTCCAGTCGTGAGCAGCATAAAATCTGGTGGAACCAGGAACCACCAACTTCCCGTGCTTGAAAGGTCGTGCTTTCTGGCGGTCGTGAGATTCAGTGCGAGGATCGGGGTTGCTGCTGTAGGTTTTCTGATCTCGATACGTGCCTCTCGGTTTCGCGTTGGGGTTTCGCCTGGTATTTCGTAGAACTTCATACTCTTGAATGTGGATCTTCACTGCCTGATACATCTGTGCCTGTGTCCATGGCCAGACGTCCCTAACTCTGCAGCTCTCGGTACGTGCCAGTATCAGTACTTGCAGGCTCATTGGTAGTTATAAGCAGGGTTATAAGTAGGGTAACTATTCTTATAACCCATATTTTTTGGTACACTTCTCGAATATAACCCATATTAGGGGACTTATAACCCCACTTATCACTACCCATGAACCTCCAAGTAAGTGGGCAGTTGAAAAGTCGAGGACCGGGCCTTCAGAGTGAAGAGGCGGAGGGCTTTCACAGGACCAGCACGTTCAAAGAGCGGCAGCAAATCCTCTTCGTTCACTTCGAAGGGCACGTTGTGGAAATACACACAGGAAGACTCCTGCACTGGCTTGCGAAGCGCAGACCTTAGACGACTCGCATGTTCCTTTCTACCCATAGTCTATAGGATTACGGAGCCCTTCCTCTCCCCTCCAACTGCTGCACCCGTGCGGTCCTCGGCTTCGGGCTCAGAGGAGACTTCGGGCTTTGCAGGCTCTTCCGCGGGCTTCATCTCTTCGTCCAGATCCTTCAGAGGGGCCGGGGCCTGGGCCTCCTTCTTGGTCTCGACCTCACAGGACTCCTCGCTGGAAAGCTCGGGAGGCTCACACTCCTCGGCCCGAGCCGTGTCGGTGCAATGCGAGACCGAGTCCGAGTCTTCGGCCTTGCATTCGGTTTCCTGCTCGGACTTCTGTTTGGGGCTGTAGAAGGAGATGCGGCCATCTGCAGCTTCAGAAGGGGCTAAGACTTTCGCATCTTCGACCTCAGCCTTTACCTGAGAGGCCTCTCTGGCAGTCCTCGGCCGGAGAATCGGCACAGGAGGCGGTGGTGGTGGACTCATTAGAACCCCCACCGGCTGCAGCTCCGAGTTCTCCTCCGTCTTCGCCTGTCGGGCACCAGGTGAGGAGCCTGTTCGGGCTCTCTTGTCGCTGCCCCGCTTCGCCTGGGCCTGTCTCGGATTCCGCTGTTCGTTCCGTCGGCCGACGTTCCGAGGCGCTGCGGTGCGGGGAGGCTCTCCAGGCGGCGTAGGCCTAGGCTCTGAAGGGTAGATCTTCTCACCATCCAGAATGTGGGCTGCCGCCAGGGCACCCTCTGGGGACACGAACTCACAGAGGCCCATGCCCTGAGACTTGCCATCTTCTCGGAAGATACGGAGTCTCTTCACGGAGCCGGCCCGTTCGAAAACGCGCCTGAGCATTCCTTCATTCACCTTTTTGGGGGCATTGTGAAAGAAAACACAATGCCTGCGCGCTGCCTCTTCGCCATTTTCGTCGAAGGGAGGCGGGGGCGGTGGTGCTGAGGAGGACAGGCGCTTCACCAACAAAGGCTTTACCTCCTCCTCCAGGGAGCTCCACCCACATCGATTGAACTATCGCCCGGCGCTACAAGAGTTATGTGAAGGATGTCCCGTGCAGGTATAGGGGACCTATGCACCACCCTACATGAATAAGCAGGCTGCCTGTCCTCCTCGCTGACGTCCTCGGCGGGACCTGTAAAGACACGTCGCCGCTGTTCTGGCCCCTCCGCAGGCGCAGCAAGCAAAAGACTGTCATCCTCGTTGCTGGTTACCGGATGAACTACAATCTGTTTTGGCTCGTGTCACATTGCCATGGGTATAATACCCTTAATGACTGCTTCTGTTGTGCTCTGGCAGTTTCTTATATAGTATCACGAGCATTACATGCATCTTGCGTTGGCAGTGCTATTCGCTCAAAGCGTCTACGTATGTTCCCGAGGTGCTGAACATGGAGGACTCTTCTGCAGTCACACGAACCATACTCCATCAGCAAAAAAGACTAAGCCATTCAATTTAGTTTGGGTGAGTCGGGAGGTTCAGAAAACGAGCAAAAGACCCTGATGCAGACTCCACATGTAGGATGCTTTCAAGAAAGAGCGTGGATTGTTTAGGCTGTCGGCTGCACGTGTATGGAAGCCACTCCGGACAAAGAGCAATGTCTCGCACACTGCAGATTTACGTTTAGTTCTTTCTGGTCAAAACGTTGGCCGTGTAGGACGAAGCAACAAGCCATTGCGAACTCATGCGCTGCAGCATATGCCCTTCAAGCGAGGCTCCCGAGCCTTGTGTTGATATGTATGTGTGTACGTGTATATATCTATATATATATATATATTTATATGTGTGTGTACTGTATATATATATATATATATATATGCATGGACAAGGGCATGGTCTGTCAACGGAGGGGGTGAGCATATTTTTGTACATATACATATGTATATATGTATATGTATGAATGTATGTATGTACGTATATACCTATACGTATGTGTGTATATAATATATTTATGTATATATGTATATGTATATGTATATGTATACGTATACGTATATGTATATGTATATGTATATGTATATATATATATATATATATATATATATATATTATGTATGTGTATACATGGGCTAGTCAGGAGCCCGAGCCTTCTCTCGCAGGACCAGGGCACCTCCCTCCTTCTCGCCATGGTTTAGGGAAAGGCTCTGAATCCAAAAGCCTAGGAACTTGTCTCCCCTGGCTGCCGGTTTTCAGCAGAAGCGAGGTCACAAGTTGGGGGCACATCTACAACTGCAGGCTTTTCGTTTTTCAGGGGTGCTGCCGTCTCGTGGCACGACTACTCTGATTCAGGATATTATATATAAATCTATATCTATTTATGTATTTATATCATTATATTAATTCAGCCCTCGACGGCCCACAACGATACGGTGGGGGCCTGAATAATTAGAATAGGGCTTGGGGGCCCATTATACTATATTTTTTTGTTAAGGAACCCCCAATATTTCGAATAGGAAACTATCTAGGCCCCTGTATTACAAGATCCGCAGCATAAACCCCGTGAGCGATGGTGTAGGCTGAGGACGTCAATGAGATTCCCCGTGAAAACCAACAAACCTGAGCCAAGCAAGATGCTGCTTATCCGAAGAGATCTGTATCATCTGTATCATTCAGAATTCTTCATTGCACAAACAAGTCCTCGCGAGGTTTAAGCGCAAACCGCGGCTGGAGCCGCGCCTGAGGACGAAACACTTCTTTTGCATGCGCGTCCCTGATTCATGGGCTAGTTTTCGCAGACCTCGGATCGCATTCGGGCAAGTTCTGATGAGGCCTCAAGGTTTAGAGTTTGCCAGTCACACAGCGAGGCTTGTAGCATCCAGCAAGGTCAAGGCATGCACACTCTGCGAGTTTATGCTGAGGCGCACGAGACATGTGCGCCGACTCCCTCTAAACGACGCCTGCTGGCCTATATGCATACATATAGGTACACATCATATCATATAGCATCACATAGCATACCTTTTGTTTGGATACATCAACTATAATGACGTGAAAGGCGGTGTCGGACCAGCCAGGTTTGCTACGCACCTTGAACACCCCTGACATCACATTTCGCTAGGAGGCAGAGCATCATCTTGCTCAAACCTTGCTACCTCTTTGTGAACCCTTTTCAGCACGGACTGAGGTGCCGGCCAGCTTTGTGAACCCTTTTTACATCTGGACTTGATGAATGCCAGCATCACAAAGCCTAAGCCCTAAACCCTCAAGTCGCTAAACCCCTACACTACAGAAGACTGCGGCCACCTTGTTCCCCTGCTGCGAGAAGGCCGTAAGTGGCCGCTTCATGGCATTTGCGCTGCTTCGGTTCGGGTTGGGGTTTAGGATTTAGGGTTGGACTTTTGTATTTGGCAACGTTGGCCGGCTGGCTGGCCACCCTGGGTGAAGAAATCCTGCATTCCCGGAGTCAGTTCAATCTGCTGCCAAACGTGAGACAACCGAGGAAGCCCCTACTCGTAAAGCCGAATTCCCTGGCTGCTTCCCGGTGGTTACTCAAGTTCGCCTTCTTGTAAACTTCCATCTGGTTCTTTCTGCAACAAGCAACATTCCAAAACTCTCCAGGAAATCTGTCATTACTGTGGTGAAGGGTGTGGTGCGGCCCTGCGTAAATTTTGAACAAGCAAGTGTGAAACAAGTGCTTTGAACCAAATGGGGCCCGCGCACAATAACTTGATCATAAAGGCCTCTACTATGTTTAATACTATCAAGAAAGATGCTCACGGTGCTATCGGTGAGGACCACACAGCAGTACTCGATGCAAGGCCGATGAGGATCAGCTTTCTTGCTCAGTTTTCAACGCCGATAGATCGAACTGGAAGCCTCCGAGAGATGATGCGCCTGTTGATAGGACCACCAAAAAAGCAGAAGCAACATGTAGGATAGGGATATCCCATATAAACACGCTTGTAATGAAGCCCAATAAGGTAGGGATATCCCTATAAAATGCTTATGCTTATGTCCCTTTTGGGTCCCTAAATTGATGCCGCTCACAATACATGCATGGCATTTGCTGCTAAAGTTGGAAGTATACCCTGTAGGACATCATAAAGAGTATCACGGATGTCTTAACTGGCGTCCTTGCTGGGTGTTATGCTGTGAAAGTCCGTGAGGACCCTGATCTGAAGCGCAAAGACGCCGAACTAAAGCCTCTTGCAGCCGCAGGGTTAAATTTAAGGCTCGGCTAAGCCCGCAAGTGTACTCGTCTGTTCCCGCGGCTGGAATCGACAGACTTACTCTAGCCCTAACTCTGAAGCATGGAGATTGACTTGCTGGGATCACAACTTTGCGCCGCCCATGGCCGAAAGGATTCGAACCTCGGCCGCTTTGGCTTCTCCGCCCAGCAAGGATCTGATTAGCAGGTTGAATCTTACATTCTACACCTTCGAGGCTCTTTGGAACTATCTGCTGTGAGCCCTAGATTTTTGTTCGGGATCTGGAGCCTGAGCCGCCATTCCTGAGCTGGGCACAGTAACGCCGCCTAGCCGCCCTGCTGCGTATATGAAGGCCAAAGACACTTGCAAGCCGGGCATTAAAACCGATCTACTGCCTGCACTTGCAATCACTGAGATGAAATCAAAACAAAATCACGACCAAAATCCGGGCACACAGTCTTTCTTCACGATTTTGCCATCCCCCTTGTCAACAGTGATCTAGTTTATACGTAAAGCAGACTAAGTGCCTGGCTCCTGCTGGCGGGCTGCATCTTCGGGGCCGGGACTACCGAGCAAGCCACCTACCTTGGCAGCGAGAAGATCGGCAGGCTGCGACAGTATAGGGGCCTTAATAATTAGAATAGGGCTTTGGGGCCAGGATACTTTAAGTATAAGAAGGCATCCCCGAAAGTTGGGAATTATTGAGGCCCCTGTATTGCAGGGTACAACTGTGACGGATATGTTTGTCTAGATCCGACGGCATATGCATATCAATTTTGGAAAAGTCTGCGGAGCAAGCTGTATTAATGTCGGTTCGCACAGCGTCTTCAGATCCACGGTTCAGGTTCTGAGGCGAGGGCAGACCTTCTGATCTTCTGCAAGGATAGGGATTTCGGGCCGGAAGATGATTTACAAACATTCGAAAACCCTTCAGCTTGACGATGCGCGTCTCAATGGTGAAAATTAGAGTCATGTGAAAGCCGAAACCCGATACTGCACTAATTATGCTTCTGTAGCCGCAACCCTGCCCTAGACTTTTCCTATAACACGATGTTTCTGTGAGGCCACTTTGCTACGTTACACTATGCACAGGCTCCACACGCTGTCAACTCAAAACTACTTGTTCTTCCACATACGGCTCTAAACCCTCGACGGAATACATGGGAGTTGCCGAAAATAGGTACCCTAATATAGTACTTGTACCCAAAATAAGGGACCCCTAGTTTTCGGAAACCCCCGCATCCTGCGAGAGGTGGCCTCTGACACTGAGTTCCGATCTGAGCGCGCGATCCTGGAGGACACTTCGCGCCAGCCATCTCTGAGGGCGGCCCCCAGTGTCTGAGTCGAAAGAAAGGCCAAAGAATAGGCTCACGTGGCGTGACAACACCGGGCGAGGGAGGTGTGGGAGTCGTCGTAGTTAGTAGTTGTAACCGTAGTTGAAGACATGTCGTACACAAATGCAGAAGCCGTCAAAGCAAATGTGGGCGTAGTGAGGGCAGCTGTGCAGCAATACACGCATTCTGCTGCAATACAGCCGTCACGACACCTGAAGTGCTACTTACTACTCATCTTGCTCCTGTTCATACTCCTGTTCCTCCTCCTCGTCCTCTTTCTTCGACTCCTACTACTACGCCTGCTGCTGCGGCTGCTGCAGCTACTGCCACTGCTGCGAACTGCTCCTGCTGCTGCCGCTCCTGCTACTGCTACTGCTACTGCTACTGCGACTGCAACGACTGCTACTGCTACTGCTAGCGCAAGATGCTCATCCTACTCCTTCTCGTATTTCTACCACTTCTTCTTCGGTCACCACTGTTCCCTGTTCATTGGCTTTATGGCAGAGCCTTTCTATCTTTGACCATGAACACCGATTGAGCACGCTCCAAAGTGTGCGACGGTGTAGAAGCACAAACCATGAGAAGTCTTTCTCTAGAGTCGATACATGATTCGGAAAAGCTGCCCAACACGTCCTTGACATACTTTGGGTACAGGGCGGTGCTTAAGGAAGCTGCACCGGTACCCTGTCACAAGAGCCTAGGGACCTGGAGCAATA